CTTTGCCTCAGGCCCCTTCGCGCTGCGCGCACTGGTCATCTTGTCATGATTAGCCGTTGTCAGCAAGCTCTACCTGAACTTAGTCGGTTCTACTGTTTCGAGAATTTCCGTTATTCTGACTATGTGGGATTCCATGAGTATATTCGCGAATTGAACGCCAATATGATTAATGCTATGATTCATAATGAGTGTACTGATTGTCTTGGGAGAATTGACGAGGCTCGGCGTGCTAGGCTACAAGCTATCTGTCGGCCGTGGTCGGTCAAACGTCGGAAGCTCGCGGTCTTCTCGGTGGCTGATCCTGTGGACGAGGCCCCTGCCAGTATCGAACGGAGTGCACGTAATCTAGCTAGCTTCTGGGGAGCTGTTCATCGGTGCCCTGGTGTACTGCCTGAGCCTGAGCCGGGTGTGCTTGCTGCGCTACGAAGCGAAATTCAGTCGGTCTCCCCTGGCATCCAATGGGAACTATTGGAACATGAGTTCCGCTCCATAGTTGTCCATCGTGAAGATTCTGCTGCAGGACCCGACGGGATACCATGCAGTGGGTGGAAAAATGGGGGGGGGGGGGCGCTGTACTGGCGGCCCTGTTTGCGGCCTACCGTGCCCTGCTGCGCGGTGCCCCCCCCCCCCGTCTGGCTTCAACTTTGGCTGGCTCGTGTCTCCCAAGGTCGAGGTTAGTGATTCTGGCCCCAGGACTGTTCTCGAGGCCCGTCAGACTAGGACCCTTACCCTGAGCAACACTGACAACAAGCTCATCTCCTCTGCCCTCGCCGACCCGTTCCAGATCCAGGCCAGGTACTCGGTCGAGGAGTCCCAGCGCGGGTTCATCAAGAAACGAAATCTGATAGACAACGTGGTCGAGTTGGAGTCCTGGGTCTTAGAGTGGGCCTGCCATCGGGGCCTCGAGCTCCCTGGATTCATGCTTCTGGACATCGCCTCTGCGTTCCCGAGTGTGTTGCACTCCTGGATCTTCGGGGTCCTGGAAGACATGGGAGTTCCCAGGCACATTAGCCAGGCCGTCAGGCTGCTGTACTCCGACATTTACGTCGACAGTTTGTTTGTTGGCTCAAGGTTTCCATGATTTTATGTCACCCGCGGCGTGAAACAGGGGTGCCCACTCTCGGATTTGATATTCGCCATTCTCTTTGACCCCGTGGTTCGAGGGTTACAGACTCGACTTCGGCCACATCCAGGCAGACCTCTGGCTTGTGCTGATGACGTCGGCGTTGCTTCAGGTGATTTGCGCCTTACTATTCCCTCGGTGTTGACTTGGATGGGTGACACTGGAGTTATCACTGGACTCAAGCTTCATACTGGCAAATGCTGGGTCGTTATTGCACGTGATATGGACTTAGATACTGCATTTCAGGCTTTGCGAGATCTGAGTACTCCAATTGATGAGGTGGAGGGTCGGGCTCAATTCCAAATACTTGGGCATATTTCTAGGACCAGACGGACGTGCGGAATCGTGGCGCGCCCCCTGTCGGAAGCTGCTGAAACAACGTGTTGCTCACATCAGGGAGTTGAGGATCTCTCTGGCTCAGAAGATTCGATCATATAATATGTTGGCGCATCCTGTTCTTTCTTACATTAGTCAGTTCTACTTGGCAGACAAAAGAGTATTCGATACAGAGCATACTGCTCTTCAGAGACTTACTGCTGCTCCTCGCCATTCGATTTCGACGGTCCTACTTAAGAATCTGAGCGCCTTGGGATTTGACTCGGTCCCTCGTGATATTTCATGTGAGAACAGAGCTTCCTTGTACCGTGCTGCCCTGTGCAGCTCGATATTTCCGAGTATTGCTGCTCGCTTCCACAGTATTGCTGAATCTGAACTGGACGTGCTCGTGGTCCCGCGCATGCAGGAGTGGCTGAATGGCTCGGTCACTACATCGTGGATTGTGAACTACACTCAGTTGACTGCTCTGGCTCCCCATATCGCTGATCCTGAATGCGATGATGTGCAAAAAAAGATGACGAGATTCCTGAAAGCTCGCTTGCCTGGTGCCCCCGTCATACCTTGATACATCGCAGAATCCAGTATTTCTGGCCTGAAGCTCCTCCTGGCGTCGCAGATCGAATGTTTGTGCTGATCAATATGCTCACGCAGAAGGTCGGCCCCTATGCGTCCACCTCCCTGCTTAAGAGTGTGTGCGCTGTCTGGCCGACGACGAGAAGGTTTCGGAATGGTACGATGCGCTGCAGGTTCGGATGCCAAACCATGTTTGGAGACGCCGTCGACCACTACCTCCACTGTCCTGCAGCTCTCGAAGTACTGATGGACGCCATCCCCCTTTTGCCCTCCTCTTACTGTGCTTGGTCTAGGGTCCAGCATTTTTTCTTCCACGAGACCCCCCCCTCTGAATAGTAATGAGCTCATTTCGAGCATGCTGGTTCATGATATTGTGCTCTCAGCTTATAACACCCTCAGGTCCCAGGACCGCTACGGGCCTGACTGTCTTTTGGCCCTTTTTAGGTCCAGGGCCAGAGTCATTGCTCGCAGGCACGCCGGCGCTCGTGGCGTGCTCACTTCGCGGCGGCGGTGACCGAGGACCGGCCCCCTCTTTGCCGCCTGCTTCTGCTCCCGTCGGACTTTGACCTCTTTTGCCCTCGTCTCGTCCCTCTCTTGTCCGCCTGCCCTCGTCTCGTCTGCTAGCCTGTGCGCTCCTCCCTCCTCCTCTTCCTCCTCGTTGTTTCGTGGCCCCGTTGCAGCCCTTCGTGGCCCCCTCGCTGCCGTTCGTGGCCCCGTCGCAGCCCTTCGTGGCCCCTTTGCAGCTCTTCGTGGCCCATTCGCTGCCCTCCGTTGCCCCGCTGCGTCCCTTCGTGGCCCCCATCGCTGCCCTTCGTGGCCCCATATGCGTGCGCCCTTCGTGTCCCCCGCTCGTTCGCGCCCGTGGTGGCTCCATGTGTCCATATGCATGCCCTTCGTGGCCCCACTGTCGCCCTTCGTGGCCCCCTCGCTGCCCTTCGTGATCCCGTTGCTGCCCGGAGTGGCCCCGTCCTTGCCCTCCGCGGCCCAGTATGCGCATGCCCTTCGTGGCCCCCGCTCGCTCGCGCCCGTTGCGGCCCCATGTGCGTGCCCTTCGTGGCCCCGCTGTCGCCGTACGTGGCCCCCCCACCGTCCTTCGTGGCCCAGTTGCAACCCTCAGTGGCCCCATCGTTGCCCTCACTGGCCCCGCATGACCTGCCCTTCGTGGCCCCCGCTCGTTCGCGCTCTTCGTGGCCCCATACGCATTCCCTTCGTGCCCCCGCTGTCGCCCTTCGTGGCCTATTTCGTGTCCTTGTGGCCCTGCTGTCGTTGTCTCTCGCTCTCGCTTTCGCTCGCCGTCGTCGCCGTCGTCGTCGCCGTCGTCGTCGTCGACGTCGTCGTCGTTGTCGGTCCCCTGTCCGTCCTTCTTGGGGTCGGGTCTACGGTCCGCGACCGCCCCGCCGATCAGCGCTGCCGCTGGCCAGGCCGACGGTCCGCGGCCGCCCCGCCGTTTGCCGGGGCCCGGCCTGCAGGGAAGAAAGGAATACCCCCCAAAAGGGGTTCGATCGAAGACGAAGAGGGCGGGTATCGAAGGTTTGGGAAATACGCGTTATTGGACACTCGCGATGATAAGGGCGAACAGTTTTAAACTGATTGATTTGGTTGTTGTTGTGGTTGTTGTTGTTGTTGTTGTTGTTGTCATTGTTGTTGTTGTTGTTGTTGTTGTTGTTGTTATTGTTTGTTGACGTCGTCCCACCCGCGACCAAGCCCGCGACCCACCCGGAACCCACCCCGCGACCCACCCCGCGACCCACCACGCGACCCACCCGCGACCCACCCCGCGACCCACCCACGACCCACCCTGCGACCCACCCCGCGACCCACCCGCGACCCACCCCGCGACCCACCCACGACCCACCCCGCGACCCACCCGCGACTTTCCCGCGACCCATCCGCGACCCACCCGCGACCCACCCCGCGACCCATCCGCGACCCACCCCGCCACCCACTTTCAAGGGAGGAAAAACCACCCTGACCCGACAATCGACGTTTACTAAAACGGTTTTGGGCGTTGACTGAACAGCCCTGGCCTGTTCGATTCATGTCTTGTGTGCGTTTACTAAACGGCTTCGCTTGTCGGGGTGATTATTATGGGGTTGGTTTTCTGCCTTGTACACCCGCGACCAATTTGCGACCCAACCGCGACCTACCCACATTGGTTTAACGAATACATCGGCGCCTGCGGCGGGCTCGTTTCATGATTTGTGAAACTTTGGCACCTGCGGCGGGCCTCTCCAGAGGGTCGCAAACTGCCGACGTCCCCACCGGCCCCTCACTCTTATCCGCATCTGCGGGGTGCTACGTATTCGCTTGTGTGGTAGTGTTTGATAGTGCCTGCCCTGCCGGTCAAATCTCGTGGCCCCCCTCGTTTCGCCGCCCCTGTACCTCTTCGGGACCTTCCACAGCAAGCTGGCCCCAGGCGCCGCTGTTCGTACGCAGCTCGCACGCCAGATCTACTATGGCATTCCCGCGCCAGCCTTCATGGTCTGAGCGGGCTCCTTCTTTTTTTTCCACCCCCTGCGCTCTCCTTCTGTCCGCCTGCGTGCCTGGATTCGCTCCCGGTGCGCCCCACCGCTTGCTGACTGGCGTCTGACTGTCTTGGACCATGTGGCGCCCGTGGACTTGCGGAGTCTCGGGGTGGAGCCGGCCGCGGCCACGGGCAGCCTGAGGGAGGCCCCACAGGTTGCGAAGAGGCGGCCCCCTGCTCTTTCCCCGCGACCTCTTACCCCACCCTCGCCTCCCATTCCCACCGCCTCCCTCGGGCGGCCGCCCGTTCCTCCCAAGCGCCGTCTTCCCCTCTCCCTCTCCTCCCGCTCTCACCGCCTCCCTCTCCTCATCCCCCCGCCCGTCACGGGGGTTTCCTTTCCCCCACCACCCTCCGTTTTCCTATATCTCCCCTCCCCTTCCCCCTCTCCCCCCCCTTCCCCCTCGCACCCCCTCTGCTGTCCCCGACCCGCGCTGTTCGCGTCAGGCTTCAGCCTTGTGCTCGTGCTTGCCGTGGCGGGCTTCTTCGGGTGGAGGTACTGGAAGCAGCAGGCGCTGCGAGCGGCAGGGTCGGAGCTGGAGCGGGGCCAGCGGTGTTGGAGGAGGAGTATGAGAAATGAGTCTAAGGAGATGAGGGCTGTCGAGAAGCGACTCAACATGAAAAGTCCGTCGTGGGCGGAAAGCCACTGGATCCACCTCTGAATTGTCTAGTTTCTTGTGGATGCCTCTTGGGGGCCTTTTGGAGGTCTTGGAGGCCACCCTTGCAGTAGAGGGCTTCCGGGGCCAATTCGTTTGCCCCCCTTTCCGGGGCCGACAGTCAAGATCGTCCGAATTATGCGGGTCAGCTGTTTTTTCCCCAACCATCCTGTGGTGTTGGGTCTTCGTTTTGAAGAGACGGTGCCCCGCGTTCCTCCTCTCCTCCCTCCCCCTCCTCCCCTCCTCCCTCCTCCCCCTCCCACCCCCCATTCTGGCACACCCCTCACACGTTTCGTGGCCCATAGGGAGCTCCACCGAAGGACCCAGTGCCACCGTCCACATGCGTCCCCCCCACTCAGTACACGGTTTCGTGGCCCCATAGGGAGCTGCACCGAAGGCCCCAATGCCACCGTCCACATGCGCCCCCCCACTCAGTAAAATGTTTCGTGGCCTCATAGGGAGCTCCACCGAAGGCCCCAGTGCCACCGTCCACTTGCGTCCCCCCACTCAGTACAGCGTTTCGTGGCCCCATAGGGAGCACCACCGAAGGCCCCAGTGCCACCGTCCACATGCGTCCCCCCCAACTCAGTACAGCGTTTCGTTGCCCCATAGGGAGCTGCACCGAAGGCCCCAGTGCCACCGTCCACATGCGTCCCCCCACTCAGTACAGCGCTTCGTGGCCCCATTGGGAGCTCCACCGAAGGCCCCAGTGCCACCGTCCACATGCGTCCCCCCGTCACTACAGCGTTTCGTGGCCCCATAGGGAGCTCCACCGAAGGCCCCGGTGCCACCGTCCACATGCGTCCCCCCCACTCAGTACACGGTTTCGTGGCCCCATAGAGAGATCCACCGAAGGCCCCAGTGCCACCGTCCACATGCGCCCCCCCACTCAGTACAGCGTTTCGTGGCCCCATAGGGAGCACCACCGAAGGCCCCAGTGCCACCGTCCACATGCCTCCCCCCCACTCAGTACAGCGCTTCGTGGCCCCATGGGGAGCTGCACCGAAGGCCCCAGTGCCACCGTCCACATGCGTCTCCCTCACTCAGTACACGGTTTCGTGGCCCCATAGGGAGCTGCACCGAAGGCCCCAGTGCCACCGTCCACATGCGTCCCCCCCACTCAGTACAGCGTTTCGTGGCCCCATAAGGAGCTCCACCGTAGGACCCAGTGCCACCGTCCACACGCGTCCTCCCCACTTAGTACAGCGCTTCGTGGCCCCATCGGGAGCTGCACCGAAGGCCCCAGTGCCACCGTCCACATGCGTCTCCCCCACTTCAGTACAGCGCTTCGTGGCCCCATAGGGAGCCGCACCGAAGGTCACAGTGCCACCGTCCACATGCGCCCCCACTACTCAGTACAGCGTTTCGTGGCCACATAGGGAGCTCCACCGAAGCCCCCAGTGGGACCGTCCGAGTGCGTCCTGAAACACCCAATTTGGAATTTTCTTCCCAACCATTATTGCGTTTCGTGGCCCCACAGGGAGCTCCACCGAAGGCCCCAGTGCCACTGTCCGCATGCGTCCCGCACACCCAATGTGGCATTTTCATCCACCCATTGCAGGGTTTCGTGGCCCCACAGGGAGCTCCACCTAGGCTCCAGTGGGACCGGCCGCAAGCGTCCCGAAACACCCATTGTGGCATTTTCACCCACCCAGTCCAGAATTTCGTGGCCGCATAGGGAACTCCACCGAAGGCCCCAGCGCCACCGTCCGCATGCGTCCCGAAAACCCAACGTGGCATTTTTACCCACCCAACACAGCGTTTCGTGGCCCCTTAGTGAGCTCCACCGAAGCCCCCAGTGGGACTGTCAGCATGCGCCCTGGAAGCCCAATTTGGCATTTTCACCCGCCCAGTACAACGCTTCGTGGCCCCATAGGGAGTTCCACCGAAGCCTCCAGTGGGACCGTCGGCATGCGTCCAGGAAGCCCAATTTGGCATTTTCACTTACCCAGGACAGCGTTCCGTGGCCCCATAGGGAGCTCCACCGAAGCTCCCAGTGGGACCGTCCGCATGCGCCCCGGAAACCTTACTTGACACACCACTCACCCAGAACAGCGCTCCCCCCCACACAGTGCAGCGCTTCGTGGCCCCATAGGGAGTTTCACCGAAGAAGATTTTCACAATTGCGGTACCCACAACTGCATATGGTTGGGTCCTTCGCCAGGATAATTATGCCTTGGAAGTCGCGAGGGATGCCCAAGTATCGCAGAGAACCCGAAGGTAACCGAGAGCACGTCACTCAGGTTGTGGATTTCACATGAGCGATTAGTTTGGGACAGTCTTTGACCACAGTTAGAGGTGTATATGGACAACGAGACGCTGGTAGGGCTCACGGAAGTGTCAATGACAGTGGTATCGATGATGGTTCGGTCTTGTCAGCAGATAGAAGGCGCAAGTGATGTGACAGAAGGAGGGTATCGAGCTTGTGTAATATGTGCGTTTAACATGGGTGATCTGAGTATGTCAATGTGGATGTGTATATGCGCGTGCGTGTGTACGTACGTATGTACGTATGTCTGTATATATGTATAGAATTGCGTGTGTGTGCGTGTTGGTGTATGTATTTATGTATATGTAAATGTATGTGTATATGTCTATGTCTATGTCTATGTCTATGTATATGTATATGTATATGTATATGTATATTTACATATACAGACATATATATATATATACATATCAGAGTGAGAGGGGCGACTGGTCATTCGTTGTCCCCGGGTGCGTGGCTGAATAAGGACTTCGTGGTGATAATTCTGCTTGTTGCGTTGAATTAGCATTTCTGAAGAATAATTATTGTTGATCCCCCCGTTTGGTGCACATTGTTTTTTTTTCGATTGAAGTGCCTTCCCGGGGCTCGCACCGTGTTTTTATCAGGGAAAGTCTTGAGGACCCAACTGCGTTGTTGGCCCCCGGTTTACAACAACAACAGCAACAACAACGGCTCCCGCCTGATACTGCCTCACAATTTATTGAAGAATCGCGCTCTCGCTTGGGACCTCTTTGCAATTTACCACCGGCTCGCGGCTCCCGCTTGTTGTTTCCTCACAGTGTATTGAAGAATCGCGCTCTCGCTTGGCACTTCCTCGCAACTTACCTCCGAATCGCGGCTCCCGCTTGATACTTCCTCACAATTTATTCAGTTGCCGCTCCTCGACACTCAGGAATCGCGCTCCCGCTACATATTGCTGGGCGGTTCAAGCAGAATTTACGCTTCAACGACCCGCCCGCTCGACCCGCCCGTCTGGGCCTGCCCGCCCGACCAGCCCATTATGGACTGCAGTCGCCGCTCGCTGCCCTTCGCCCGCCTTCGCTGCCCCTCGCTGCCCGTACTGGTTCCGCGGTCGCCGTCGCTCGCTGCCCTTCGTAGCCCCGTTGCTGCCCTCAGTGGCCCCGTGGCTGCCCATTGTGGCCCCGCATTATATGCCCTTCGTGGCCCCCGCTCGCAGTCGCCCGTCGTGGCCCCATACGCATGCCCTTCGTAGCCCCGCTGTCGCCCTTCGTGGCCCTCTCGCTGCCCTTCGTGGCCCACTTTCTGCGCTCAGTGGCCCCGCTGTCGCCCTTTGTGGCCCCATATACAAATGCCCTTCGTGGCCCCCGCTCGTTCGCGCCCGTCGTGGCCCCATATGCATGCCCTTCGTGGTCCCGCTGTTGCCCTTCGTGGCCCCCTCTCTACCCTTCGTGGCCCCGTTTCTGCCCTCAGCGGCTCCGTCGCTGCCCTCTGTGGCCCCAGATTAATTGCCCTTCGTGGCCCCCGCTCGCTCGCGCCCTTCGTGGTCTCATACACAGGCTTTCGTGGGGCGCCCGGAGGCCGTCTTGGAACCCTTTTGAAAGCTTCTGGGGCTGTAGGGGGTCGATGTTGGATGCTTCTTGGGCCGTCGTGGGCCTCGTGGAAGCCCAAGAGGCGAATGTGTTGAAAATGTATATTCCCCCCAGGGAATGGGAGGATGTTTGCTTCTGGAGGCCTTCGTGGAGCGCCTCGTAGCATCTTTTTCAAACGTCTCGGGGGCCTACGGGGGATCTTCTGCAAGCAAGCTGGGGCGGTTTGGACAGAATCGTCCCCCGTGGGCCGTCCAGAAGTCTTTTGGGGACCCTCTTGGCCCGTTGTGGGGCTCTCGTGGGGTCGTCCTGGGCCGTTGCTGTGGTTTCTGAGGCCTTCGTGGTGCGCAAGGAAGCCGTCGTGGAGCCTTTTTGAAAGCCTTTGGGGGTGTCGGGGGTCGAAGTTGGAGGTTTACTGGGCCGCTGTAGGCCTCGTGGAAGCCCAAGAGGCGAATGTACTGAACCTGTATGTTTTCCGGAGGGAATGAGACGGTTGTTGCTTTTGGACGCTCTCTTGAAGCGCTTCGTGGACGCGTTTTCAAACGTCTTGGGGACCTATGGGGCCGTCTGGAGGCAATCTTGGGTGGCTGGGACCGAGTCGTCCCACGCGTGGGCCGTCTGGGCAGCCTTTGGGAACCCTGTTGGCCCGTTTTGGAGCCGTCTTGGGACCGTCCTGCGGCTGTCCGGGGCCGTTGCTATGGCTTCTGGAGCCTTCGTGGATCGCCTGAGAGCCGTCGTGGGGCCTTTTTAGGAGCCTCTTGGGTTGCGGAGGGTCGAGCTCGGAGGCGTCTTGGACCGTTGTGGGCCGCGTGGAAGCCCACAGGGCGAATGTGCTGACAATGTACGTTTTCTATTTGGAATGGGACGATGTTTGCTTCTGGGGGGCCTTCGTGGGGCGCCTCGTCGCACTTTTTCAAGAGTCTTGGGGACTGATGGGGCCATCTGGAGGCAATGTTTGGCGTTTGGGAACGATCTTTCGTCGACTCGAACATACTCTTACGTTTGGCCAGTATTGTTCCAGATGCTCCGGACTTGCATTC